AAGCATGGTGCTGGCCATCACAATGTACTATCGGGGAAAAATGAAATGCGAACAGAGGAGCGCGTGGCTCGCGGTACAGGCTGCCCCGCCTGGAAGTGAGCCTAGGGGCGAGGGTGCGTGGCCTACTCCGACGTGTTCACGCCCCTCCCTCTGCGCTCCCCAAGCTTCAGCAGTGCTCCTCTTAGTGCGCTGAAAGCTATCACCGCTATCTTTGCTGGCTCAGCGCGTGCGGTGCAAAGAAGCTCGCCGCACTCGCCGAGCAGGCAAAGATAGCGGTAACAGCTTTCAGCGCACTGAGAGGCGCACTGCCGAAGCTGGGGGAGCGCCAATCGAGGGGCGTGAACACATCGAAGTAGGCTACGCACCCTCGACCCTAGGTTCACTTCCAGGCGGCGCAGCCTGTACCGCGAGCCACGCGCTCCTCTGTTCGCATTTCATTTTTCCCCGATAGTACCTTGAGCGTGTATACAAATGTTTAGGTTATTGTACCGAACATTTCATACATTATTGTGGGAGGAGCATTGAAAGCGTCCGTATACACTCTCCCGATTCACCTTTCGTAGCAGAGGCATTGACATAAACAAGACGAGCAAGACAACATTTTTCAATCAATCTTCCAAAATACATTATGCCCAATTACGTGAAAAAAAAAAGAAAACATGAATAATTTGTTCTTTGATCTTCTAATGAAATCGTCATATTAAAAATTGCGTTTTAAGAATTCAGCGGACGCTAATTCCAGTGTCACTCTCCCAAGCACGCGACGCCACGTCCTCCTTTGTTGCTGTTGTCTTTAAGCTTTCGTAGCTAGTTAAGTCTTCTCGAATCGTCTCGAAGTCTTCCTTCCTGCTTCAGCTTTATTTTCTTTGCCTTTGTAATATATATGTATTTATATATATAACGGGCATAGCGGCGGGAGGCCGAAGGCGTGGATGTACAACTGAGAAAAACAAAAAAAAAAAAACAAAAAAAAAAACCTTGGTGAAAACAGCAGCAACGGATGATTTATTCTTCGACGTTTCGGCCGGAGCCCGGCCTTCGTCAGGAAAACGAAAGTCGAAGATAAAACAGAATACATATATATATATATATATATTCTGTTTTATTGTGGCGCCGGCGTGGACCTCGAGGCGCAAGAGTTTCGCATCCGGCCAACTCCCTCCGCATATGGCACTCCGCGGCACGCTTTACTCCTCAAGGCGATATCAAAGTTAAATTCGATAACAATGAAATTCTAGATACAAAACATATATGACGAGCTGCAGTAAAGTTAAGCGTTGATACTGGCGGAGGTGAAAAAGTCCAAGCATAGTGCTCTATTCGCTCACGGGCAACGCGCATAATTAATTACTTTCCTGAAAAATTGATCGGGCACCCTATTCAGATATATGATTATCTTCGGAATCAGTGCACATTTCTACAGTCACTGATGGCTTAAAAGGTACAGGGCCCGGCCTATCATGTTCATGTTTTGGCAATCGTTCATCGGAGATCTCATCGGCTCATTCTGCTGTCTATAATTGGCTTCGGAGCAATCATAATATGCTCTGGACTGGCCAGGCTCTGCGTTCCTTCAGCTGCGAGCGTCTATAGTGTACCATACGCTACAGCGGCCACCTTAGCCTAAGGGTTGATCCAGTTGAGCCATTCGAGCTTTCTGCTTGTCCGATAATATGGGCCATGTTGACAATCGGAAAGAAAAAAAGTGGAGAACAAATGCACAGCGCGTGTGCGAGGATCGGTTAAAAATCGGCTCAAGTACGACTTCCAGGAAGGTGATGAGGGTCTGGAATTTGTTTTTGTACTGTCTATACAAAATAGCCGTACTCTAATCCTCAATAAAAAAAAAATAGAAACGAAAATTAGATCGGCTACTTTGTTTGCGAGCATTTCTTGCGATGCTTGCCTACTTGGTTTTGATTCGATCGCACACGGCCTGCATTGTAACCTATCTCAGAGAAGCGACGCGATTCTGACGCGAAGCGTGCGATTTTCGAAATAAATAGCGTGAAGGTCAAAAACAAACTGACGGTACAAGCGCTAACTCACAACTTTCGTTTTAACAATCACACAGAAGACGAGAAAGAGGTAGCGTTTCTCTCTCGTCTTTCTTTTCGGTATAAAAAATTTCCGAAATGAAATTGTCTTGATGGAAGAGGAAGTTACGTTGAGAGAATTGAGAAATAACAATAAAGAAAGAGGGCGTTGCGTTAAAAAACTGAGAATTAGCAGAAAGAAAGGAAGAAGTTGTCCACAGTAAACCAAAGAAACCACCTTAAGTAGGAAAGTTAAGGTAGCTAAGTTCTTTTTCATTTAATGCCACTGATGGGGCACTGACACACGAGTTCTCCTTTTCTTTTATGGTCATTGCCTCGTATAATTCCCTTGATGTCTTCTCACGGTACCCTCGAAGGACCCTTGTCTCTGTAAGTTTCGGCTTGCACTGACAGTCTCTCACGTGCACTGCGAGATGCCCCGATGGTGTTGAGATGAGTGACGCAGCGTGTTCACGTAACCTGGTGTTCACACACCGGCCAGATTGACCAACATATACTCTGCCGCAGGTGAAAGGTATTTCATATGTAACCTGGCTTTGGCATGGTATATATGTTTGCTTGTGCCTCTGGCCGCATTCTTTGCGACGGTCTTGTGGGGAATTTATCACAAAACAAAGCTTCTTTAGCTTGCCTGGTGCTGAAAAGACGACAGGCATGTCATACCTGGCAGCCACCTTTTTCATGTTGTGTGATACCCGGTGAATGTAGAGTATATACCTTGCCAAAGCCAGGTTATATATGAAATACCTTTCAGCTGTGGCAGAGTATATGTTGGTCAATCTGGCCGGTGTGCGAACACCAAGTTATGTGAACACGCTGCGTCACTCAACTCAACACCATCGGGGCATCTGGCAGTGCACGGAAGAGACTGTCACTGCAAGCCGAAACTTACAGAGACAAGGGTCCTTCGAAGGTACCGTGAGAAGACATCAAGGGAATTATACGAGGCAATGACCATAAAAGAAAAGGAGAACTCGTGTGTCAGTGCCCCATCAGTGGCATTAAATGAAAAAGAACTTATCTACCTTAACTTTCCTTCTTAAGGTGGTTTCTTTGGTTTACTGTGGACAACTTCTTCCTTTCTTTCTGCTAATTCCCAGTTATTTTTTAACGTAACGCCCTCTTCCTTTATTGTTATTTCCTTCGCGCTATTTATTTCGAAAATGCATATCCAACTAGCCCACCTTAATATTTTAGTGAAGCGTGCCAGTTCCAGTACTCCCAGGATATTCAATGACGATAAATGATTTTTTATATTAATTTCTTCCGCCATCCATACGACAGAAAAGTAGACTAGGATGATTACCAATGTTTTGTTGTCCATTGCTTTACGTGAATGTGTTTCCTCGTTCGTACCCACAGCTCGTATTCTTGTAATTGTCAATGAGTTGCCCTCGTACGCGAGAGCGCTTCCAGCATCCTGAACTTGAGTGAAAAACAATGAACAAAATCATTCGAATTTATGCGCGCATCGCAATGGCGTCGGCTAAGCTTTGAGCGACGAACTTTTATCGCCGAAATGCCCTTTCACAAAGTTGGGGTCGATTGTCTGTTAGATATTGAACTTTGTGCATTGTTGACCAGTTTTCTGAGGAGCAAGTTATAAGGCTCGTTCCTTGTGTGTTCTTACATTTGAAACAAGCACATCCTTGCCGTTGCGAAACTCCACCTATTTGTTTCAGATAGGCAGTCAACAGAGAGAAGGGATGTTTAGAATCGATACTTTACCGAAAGCAAACTTTTCTTAGAAGAGAGTTGCGACGAAAGCATTCATTCCAATTAATGTCTACCGACCCCCACAAAACTTAACAACAACAACAGAAATAAAACAAGACACATTGCACGTAGCTCTTTGACATAATCATACATGACCAAAACTGTGGTGTTTTGGACGAAAAAACAGCTCCCAGGGCGCCATGTATGCTTAAACTATGTAGAAATTTGGAAGTAAACGTGCCCTTTAATGTTGCTTTATTCTAAATAGTGACTAGCTCGTCACGGTGCGTTTGAGGAAAGATGACCAACTTACACTTCAAATCAATAAGGTTAGAAGCACCTACGGAAGCAAGGCCGGTATATTGAAATAGTTTAGCTCCAGATTGCCGTAAATATATACTTAGTTCAAACTTTAACTTGAAAACATTGTTTTCATGACAAATTCGTAGAAGTGTTAGACGCTGGAATAAATCAGTCATTCGCCTTAAGTCGCCATTCGGAACACATTTTTATATTCCGTTCTTTAAAAAGTACAGCGACAGAGCCCAAGAACGCACCAAATCTCGCCAGCCCGCCGTATCACTTCTGCACAATAAAGCACATCTGCTATGATCACTGTCATTAGGGCAAAGAAGCCTCTTCTGAAACGACGCCCAAGGAAACACAGAGAGTCGGCCTTGCGCAGCATCAAGCCAGCAACAGCTGATGTGATATTCAGAATATTGTTTGCTAAGATCAACACGACACCGCTAGCCGTTGCTGAGCATGCCCACTCTAAAAAACGCCTGTGCGTGTACTTTCCCGCACAACACTCGGAGAGCCAATCACCGCAACTGACGAAGACAGCTCAACGAATGACGACGCCGAAACATATGTTTAGACCAAAAAACGCTGTCAGAATTGTGACATTAAGCAATGAAAGCAGGACGTTTTTCATTCCTTGGTCTTGTTAGGTCACCTGTCATATCCGAGATGTGTCTGTACGCTCTCGTTATTGTTTTATTTGTGTTCGTGATTCAGGCCCAAATAATTTGTGGGCTCTACTTTGGTCGTTAAGCCCTATGAGGAATATGCGAAAATTTGAAATCTTGGACGCCGACGCAGTTTGCATCGTCACTGATTAAACGCAATGTCGGGAATAAAAATAAAGTAAAATCGAAAGAAGCGTTGATTTTATTATGAGCTAAATATTCTCATAGAGCGAAATAAAGTTCCCGAGCCGTCATTTCACTCTTTTTGGTGAGACCAAGCTACGCAGTCTCCCATCTCAACCAGGCTTTTCTCGAGAGCCTCCTTGAACTTGGCTGAACATGTCACGGGACAGGATTTGCAGCACGAGATAGTGAAGGTGAGTGACTCTGGCCGGACATTATAGAGGACGCCGTATCCGTCCGAAACATAGGGGCCAAGGAAGGTGGCAGAGTCGCATTCAGTGCGCACCTAAAGAGAAAAAAAAAGTCAGGTAATTAACTTATGAATTATGCATAATGATCTACAGGGCGAGCTTTGTTGGCTCGCCCTATCGTCATGCGAAACCTATCGCCTAGGTTTCACGTCAAGTCCGACCTACATTTCGATGGATCCAGCCAATCAACCTGCGCTAAAGGTGTATTGCCATGGCACTCGTATTTGCACGTTTCTTTATCGCCGGCTGAATCAATTCCACACACATTGACTGCGGCGTAATCCTGCGTTTTTTTTTCTGCTCGTGATTTGATTGGATCCAGGGGATCGTAGCGTTGGCAGCCGTCAGACGTAACCTGCAACGTAGTACACTCTAAAAACGCCCGTGAGTCTGCTTTCCCGCACAACACTCGGAGAGCCAATCACCGCAACTTACGGAAGCAGTTCAGCGAATGACAATGCCGAAACATATGTTTAGACCAAAAAACGCAGTCTGAGTTGTGACATTAAGCAATGCAAAACGTCACGCTTGCATTGCTTAATGTCACAACTCAGACTGCGTTTTTTGGTCTAAACATATGTTTCGGCATTGTCATTCGGTGAGCTGACTCCGTAAGTTGCGATGATTGGCTCTCCGAGTGTTGTGCGTGAAAGTAGACGCACAGACATCTTTTAGAGTGTATAGACTAGAGCACTATATAGCTCCTTCGGAGCAGGGTACCGCAATCTAGAACGCCGTCTCTCGGCGACTAGCGGCGAACGCCCGGGGGTTCCAACTCCGGCCACAAATGCATGGGGAACGGAAGAAAATCGCCGCTTCCTGATTGTTTTTGGGGATCTACGGAACGACAATAGCTTTTGACATAATAAGGGAATAGTTTACAATAATTTGCGCTAAGCTGTGCGCCATGAAATAACTTAATTTTTTTTTTTTAAATTGCCTGAGCAGCACCAGGCAGCAGACGACGCGGCGACGTCACACCGTTCACGTGACCCACTCCAGCCAATCCATAAAGTCGATCTCCGCTGCGTAAAACAATCGTCTGCTTCAAACGCCATTGCTTTGAAAATTGCCTTCGCAAAATTTTCACAGGCATCCAATATTATTAAAACTTTGATAAAGTGTTTAGTGCTTTACCAACTTCACGACGGACTAGTTTCAAAAAGTGTAAACTTGGCATTTATTTTTTAATCAGCCGTGTTGAGTCGATCTCCATGTATTCTCCCATAGGGCAGGCCGCCTCCTGGAACCCTGAGTACCACGTGACTCGCTCCGAGCTGCTCTGTCGGCTATGTTGTCGGCGAAACACGCGGATCAAAGGATTGCGCTACTCTGCTCCGTAGGAGCTATATAGTGCTCTAGTATAGACCAAGTCAACTCACTGACGTCACGCCACTGCGGTGGCGCTGCTGTCGGTACTGCGCATGCGGAAACGTTTCACTCCTTCCGAATTTGCTTTCCGCGCGCGCGCAGTGTCCACACCTGGTGTGGGCAAAGCGGGCTTGTTTGTAAACACTGGGTTGGTGTATAGACCAACAGGAAGTTTACAAGCAATGCAGCGTGTGCCCCACCCTAGGGGGGGAGGGCACCGTGCATGAAGCTTTTGCACACGAACCGTGACGGCAGCAGCGCCACCGCATCTGCGGTGGCGCTGCTGCCGTCAGAGCGGCGCGTTGGTCTATCTGCTAGAGCTGCGATGAAGACCGGTCACTCTACGCAGTCGATGTACCGTGCAGTTATATTCGGAAGTGGAAGCTCTAGTCTTTTGAAAGTTGAATTCCTCGCACGTGCAACTTAGCCACGGTGGGAAGAGTATCTCTAAAGTCTTAAACGAAGAGTGTATGATGCCCATCAATATTCCAGTATCCCACGCTGCATAAGTCGTGGCAGAACAAAATACGAACGCCATTTTTGAAGGGAAAAGGTGCGGGTGAGGGTGCTGGGATGGGGGGAGGGGAGGGGGAAGACCCTGCGAAGCTAACAATTTTTTCTTTCATTTTATCCTGCAATTTCAAAGGTTGGGGTTCACGTGAGTCATGTCTAGAACAGCGTGGCATTTAATATATTTTAACTAATATCAGTGATATTGACGTTAATCCCATTTTTATTCGTACCGTTTTAATCTTAACGAGGAACTTTCAAATTGCATTGTAATGCGCCGTCTTCAAGTACGTGTTCCCAGTTAGATAATCTAACACATATTAGTTTTGTTATTTCAATGGAAGCAAACAAATAATTAAGGCATTGAAACGTGAATTAGGATAATTTATTTATGAGTTACCATTACTCCACCATTCAACCTCTCCGGGCCCAGTTACTTCGCAATAGAGGCGGTGACTAGTCAACGATCACCTCCGTCTTTAAAGCATAAAGCCAAATGAAAAAGAATGCTCCTTTCGTTTAAGTTTCGTGATCCAGAAAGTTCGCTATGAATGTCTTTTTATAAAGAATACTGTGCTTAGATTTCTTCCTCGTTTGTGGCCTTCGAGACGTGCTTCTAAGAAATACTGATCTGATAGTTGACTGAACGATGGCCGACTGAGTGTGGTGTACAAGGACATGACTGGCAGAGTATATTTTGCACTGGTGTTCCAGGCAACACCACTAACGCACAACATTATCACCTCCAGCACATTGTTTCACAAACCATATTAAATAGGGATTTGAAAAAAAAAAACAGTACAATTCAATTACGAATCTAAGCACTTTATTAAATCTTGGGGCGCGATGATTAGACTAAACAACCAAAACGGTTCCATGCCATTCCATCACAAAATCGCGGGAAGAAAACCGGTATTACACGGAGAGCGGCGTTTGTGAATGCCTTCGCGTGCCACACTTGGCAGTGTTTCTTTGGGCTATCTGAGGGAAGCTGTTAGCTGCGACAAAGTAGAATTCGTACATTGTAGCCCGGGTAATGCGTTTACGAAGTTACTCATTGAGACTGCAAACATCATATGCAACCCTAGGGTGACCACCCGTCCCGCGACTTGCGGGACTGTCCCGCATTGAGGGCTCGTGTCCCGCGTCCCGCAAGAAATTCCCAAATCTTCAAAATGTCCCGCATTTTATACTGTACTAAGATTCACTCTGCAACTCATGGTGCTGCCGAATAACGGGGCACGGGGAAACGCGGAGGTCGTGGTAATCGGGTGAATCCCAATGGTACGCCATTTTCTATACAAGCAATGCGGAAACGACCGTCGTTCTTGGAGAAGTCACGACGCGCATGCTCCGTTGTGCCTCTCCCTTTGGTGGCAAAATATGTTAAGAGAAAATTGTTCGCTTAAAGTTCATATATAAAATATTGTAATTATTTTCAAATCGATGCGTGAATGTGAATTGCTTGCTGTTGATTTTTGTTTTTTTAGTGAAGACAGCCTAACAAGGCATGCCATAAAGCCTGAAACATTACAGCGGTCAAAAACAATTACATAATTAAAAAAAAATCTGTGTAGGACCGTGTTGATAAAAGAAAGCGTTGACAAAAACGATTTACTGTTTCTCATTTCCATTTGATGCATTGAGTGCTGCTAGAGTCAATTTTTATGTTTTCAACTTCGACACATTTAAGAACACATTTAGCATAAAAATATATATCACTGGGACTGATAATTATTTCAGCTTAATTGCTGTAATACAGTTAGCAGATGTATAAACAGCACAGGATATTAAATGTGTTTACAGAGCCTCGGTTCGTGGTGCGCATGTTAAGAAACCCCCCCCCCCCCCCCCCGCCCCCTCCCTCTTTGTGTCTTGCATTTCGCTAGCAGGGGGGTGGTCACCCTATGCAAACCAAGCAGGCAGCATCTGTTATCTGAGCATTTCCACATCAAGGTTTGTTCGGACTTGGCTCAAATGATTTCGAGAAATATTTGGACAAGTTTTCACTGAAAGAGAATCATACTATCAAACTTTTCGCAAGCACTAAAACGTGTTTTTTTACGTTCTCAGTGCGATTATGCTTTCATTATTCGGCTTCGGTGATGGTGATTATTAATGCTTGGGTTGATTACTACAAAATATATAAAATGATGAAAGCGAGTTCCGAACCATACCAAAAGCAAGGGCCTCTGCACAATCTTCCGGATGTAATTATGACGCCTGATATAACATGCGGTTTTTCACCCAGCCAGACACAAAAATTAGTCTATCTCATCTTGTTTTTAGGCGCTCTACACAAGCGAACTCCAATTTCATCAAGTGCATGTGCTTTCGGCGTTCAAGTGACGTAGCACCAACTGGTCACAGGGTTTTCAACGCAAATATGGCACTGTGAGAGCCAGAAATGTTTCGGAAGAAATAGGAATCACTTTCGCATGAGTATAGCACGAGCCAAAAGAAGTGTTTCTTTTTTCAGGTTTTTACGCATGATCACAGCAATAAAAATATACGTCGATTTTGAGGTATCAATATTTTCTAGAAAATCCCACAATGAGCCTCGTCAATCTCATATATGCACCACGCGACGCGGACAACTGTGGAGTTGTTGAGACGTAGTCGAGGGCGTCTCTTATGCACCGTATATACCGGAAGTGGCTCCATTCCTCCTCTCGCGTGTTAAAAAAAAAAGAAAAAACAGGGAGTGATTATGTCACAAAGCCGATACGTACTTTATTTTGTTATCACCCTACCTTTTTTGCTTACTGAAATCGCAAAATGCTAAGCAAGCACGAACTGCGGCTTCTTTTATGAGTGCTTTTTCCTACACAATACACCGCATTGCCATGGTGCATTGAAAAGACGATGAGACGGGAGGACCTCCATATTTAGAGGTTGGTCTGTTGAAGGCTCATCAAGTGTGCGTTTGTGCTTGTTTTGTGTCCCTCATTCTGAGTGAATTGTGCGGAGAACATACCTGACTGGTCATGAGGGTAATGTGTCGGCTAGTCCGGTATGCTGCACCTGTAAAGAATTCGTGAAGTGGCATTCCATTCTCAATTGCTGTGGTCCTTAGGACAGAGAAGAGTCTACCGATGCCAAGGCCGTTGTTTGCCTTAAAAAAAAAAACAAAAAAAAACAAGAAACCAGTCAGTAATGATTTTGTTTTTGATAATCGCATGTGCAAAGATATAGCAGAGCGGATTATTATTATCATAAGATTACAGAAGGGGTTGAGAGGTACATTGAGATTTTCTTTAATAATCATTTTTGAACAGGCACGTCAACAATACAAAATGAGAATACAGAAAATATGATTTCATCCACATAAATTGTGCTAAACGCATCGGGCAAATAGCTTCCAATAGAATGCATTTAGGAACGTACTATACGATGTTACACAAGCTGTCTCAACGGTTATTTAGCCAGTTAAAGTTAACTCATTTGCCATTGGCCGGAGTTTCACAGTGACGCTAACCATAACTGAACATTTTATAACGGTCGAACTGAAGTGAAATCTACATGAGCTGAATTAGAAGGGCTTCCCTCACTGAGTTCAAGATGACGGCTCCTGTAGCACTGGCAGCGACACTACGCGTTTCGGGCATGTATGGGGGGCCCAGCTGATGTTAGAAAGATCCCCGCAAGCCACGGAAGCCGCAGAGGTTTAAAACCTTATAAACTTTATTATTTTCACTCCAGGATGTAAAAATCCTACTGCACCCCTTTTAGAATCCTTATCAATAGTACATATTCCGAATGCAATAAAATATTTTTACTTTTCAGAATAATCAGGCGATACAAGAGTTGATTCCACTTGGTTTTTAACTTGGAGTAAAGGCAGCAGAGGTAGTTGAGTGCCTGTAACGGCAGCCAGCGCCATGAACCATTTGAACTGTCATTACGCCAACCTGGCATAATGATTGTTACATCGGTTCGTGTAATAGGTTCATATAGGAATGCCATTCTCGTATACGCATTGTTTTTTATTTGGGGGGGGGGGGGGCGACAACTTAATTGTACGCTTACACGCTGTCCGAAAAAAAAAAAGAATAAATAGTCTGCGTTTGCTCACACCCAATGTGGACACTGTGCGTCAGTAGAAACTGAATTCGCGCCAGGGAAAGCTTGAGCACACGTTACACTACAGCCGCGTCACCGCAGTGGTGCGTCATTGGAGCCGCGGCTTGATCTCTACAGGGATCCCACCGCAAATATTCATACTGAACGTTCCCCATACTTACAAGGTTAGCTTTCCTCTTGTGGTTTTCGACAGCCTTCCTAAGCCTGCCATTCTTTTCTTCCATGCTTGCGTCTGGATTCTCAAATACCTTACAGAAGGAAAGGCTGTCCATTGAAGTTGAGTAGACTGCATCCGTTCGTCCTTGGCGAAACTTGCGCGTCGAAACGGTTTCGGTCATCGTTGGCGGCACGCGGTGAACTCTGGAAAGTGGGATATATTAATTATTATCAGAAAATATATACACCTCGTCCGTATTAATCGAATATGCGTAAACATTTATTGGGCTGAAGATCGAACAACCTACAGTTGGTTTTATTCCTGCGGAAACTTCCGTGTTTATTTTTATATAAAAAAAACTTGGAACGTGTTAATCGGGACACCCTGCGTACACACAACATTGTTTTTCACGGCTATTAAGCCTATTTTTACAGACCTATGCATCCAAAGTGGCATTTTAAAATCAAATAAAGAAATGACTGTTGGGCAGCTGACCCCGTGTCGTCCTGCGACAAAGCTTGCTTATTTTGACGTATAAAGGTTTCTGTTAAAAACAAAATTATAAACTGGATTACAAGAATATACACTCGTACTTACAAAAAAAAAAAGAAAAAAAGATACAGATACCTTTGTTTTGTCGGCAAATCGCTGCTGCTGTTGCATATGCCATTTTGAAATAGAGTGCTATGTGGAATGATTAGATAACCGTTCTCAGAGGAATTTCATCCTCTGCACTCATTGTAACTGGTCGCACACAAAGTTTTTACGCTGTCGTATGTCGTGAGTACGGGGTCAATTAGTTTCATATTTTTAGATATGCCCAGGACGTTGTCACGAGAAGCACCTTCATTGCTAGGCATCGAAACCTCAGTGTCCCAGTTGAGAGTTTTGATGGGCCAAAATAATAATGATTAATTTTCAGCGTTTTTGGAGTGTATGTTTTGTTTTTGGAAGGGTGTTTATTAGGAATTTAGTTTTCCCCAGAAATTTCCTTCTTTCCGGTGGCAATTTTGGCTGTCTAACATAACACCGGGATTTGTCGGGGCGTACACTGAAGAAATAAGAACACGGGCATAGAATTTTCCAGCCTCGGGGACATAGCGTGTGATGAGAATACTTCAAAACTGGAATATAAGATTGTACCGATAAAACAAAAAAAAAAGTTCAATGAATATGGCTTCGCAATAAAGAAGAAGCCTCGCGGAACGTTTAGTGAGTTATTTTCCCGAGCCAACACACAATAAAACTGTAGATAAAAAATCATTTCAAAAGAAGCTCGTTCTGTTTGTTTTCTTTTATTTTTTTTTATCGCATTTATAATGTGTATTTGTTTTTTCCATTTTGATAAAACCGGCTCGGGACTTAAATTTAATGTTTTCTCGGTTTTTACCTTAAAAAACGGAACCCTAATAATTGAACAAATACGGAAACGCGGTACTATTTATGTGTTTATTTCAGGTATAGCAGGCCGAAGAGACATGGCCTGCTTTCAGGTTGCTATTTCGATCTCTATTACAATTTGCCGGATGGCGCTTCTCCGCCCCGCGAATGCGGTCACCGGACTTTCCGAATCGGCTCTTTCGGGGATGTGTAAACTTGCAGGGGAAGCCTTGCAGAGTTTAGGCAAATGCGTGCTGAAATACGCTTTTTTTTTGTTCGTTCGTCAACCTTCTCCAAAGAAGTTCTTTGTTTTTTAATCCTTGTTTAAAGGATCGTAGCTGTCTTTGAGAACCCGTGAAAATTTTGACAAAAGCGCAGCACCGCAGAGGAAAAAAAGACAGATCGTGGGACGTATGTCTCGCGGTTAGGTAGATGAACCGAAACTAACATTGTTAACGGTAGCACCCAGGAGATACGACATTCTCAAGGCAATGGGACACGCCGAAGGTACGCCTTACTTTTGTCGCGATAACCAACGAGATAATACCACACAACAATTCATCCCTGATCAGAGGTCAACCGTGTCGCCTTCGTGTCTTCTTGCCATGTGCAGTAAAGAGGAAATGAGACAATATCCGGTGTGCTTCTTCTAAAGCGCAGCTCTTAGGCTCTCGTTTCCGGCCTGAGCGGTGTCGGCGTCACCGTCGGCGTAATTGCGCGGTGCATTATGGGACGTATCTCATAAAGCACCGCGCGGACGTTTCGGCAAGTTGCCGAAACGTCACCATGCCGAAACGTTACCGCGTGATGCATTATGAGGCGTTTCCCACAATGAAGGTGACGTTTCGGCACCGCGCCGAAATGCCGCGTGACGACACGCCTTTCCCTCCTGAAATAAGGAGGAGGGGAGGCGGAGAGGGTACGGATGAGGAGGAGGGCATACCTCGACCGGCTTTATAATCTTCATTTAAAGCTGTATACTGTTGCCGATTCCTTTTGGAACACCACCTTTAACACAGTGTTGTTTCTTGAGTGAATATTCCACGCACGCCTTCTGCTTGACTAAGACGATAGCAAGAGTTCCACTTTAGTATACCTTTGTGGACGAAATTTGTGCTATAGACCACAAACCCTTGATAACGATCTTTGGTTCCCTAAAAGGTATCCCCAACACATCAGCGAACAGAGTCCAACGTTGGGCACTCGTCCCCATGAAGTACACCGATACTTGTGTGTATGTGGTAACGGGAAAGCTTGTAAAAGCTTATGACATCACGCTCTTCACTGAAATTTTTGGCGAGGGCTTATACAAAGAAATGGCAAAAGGAGTTTTGACCATATCTTGTGCTGCACAAGGTGTCTTTGCGCTTCACGCGCAAGGTTTGACAAACTTACGGCAAAGTACATCGGCGCAACCACACTATCAGACCCTGGTCTTTCCCAGGTACAAAGGTACGTCGAAAAAGGCTGGTCACAAAAGGGTGTCGGACTCCACCTTCGCGCTATTCTAAAGACACCGGTCTGAAATAATCATTCTAAATGATTGCATTCTATGGAACTCCTTAAGCGTGGTTCAATTTATTCTTTAAGAACGAGCCAATATTACTCTTCACGGAGCACGTGTTGGACAATCCATGATGAAGATGCTGGCACGGTCATGCTTCTGGTAACCAGACATGAACAAAGATATTGTTCTGCAGACGCAGAAAGGCGAATGTTGCAGAAATTTTTTTTACAATAAGCCACAATATACTGTTAATTGTAGGAAATCTCTAGAACGACCATGTTCGCTCTGATTTCGTCGAACTCAATCAGCAGAGCTATGTAATTGTCATCTATGCTTTCAGCAAATCGCCAGAAGTCGTTCAAATGAAGTCGACAAAAACAGTAAACACCATGAATTAATTTCATAAAATTTTCTCTCGTTGTTGTCTTCCAAAACAGTTGGTCAGCTACATTGGCCCGCCGTTCATAAGTTCGTAAGTTCATAAGAAGGCGGACGTTGAGGCAGACCACCAGGGATACATGAAGCACAGAGGCCATTGGCGGCTATGGAAGACGCGTACTGTCTTGGATGAACTCCAGCTGCTTCAGGAACAAGCCGGACTCATGAGACCCGCCAACGCTGGCGCAACAGAACGAACCGATGCAACAAACGAAGAACTCGGCTAGTCTTGGTTGGGCACCTGGCGGGGCCAGCCTAGCTAGCTTTTGGCAGGCCCTCACCGGAGCTTCCGGAGAGTGATCACTAAGCGCATGATCTTTTTTCTTTCTTATTCTGAGATATTATAGTTATTTAAGCTTCTTCGAGCCCACAACCTCACGATATGTTGTTATTGTGGTTCACAAGTTGTTTTTTCGATGACAGCAATAAAAACAATTTCTTAGGACACCTAAGCACTTCTTATGAGTTCTGAATGCGAAAGCGTGAATGTCGTCCTTTTGCTCCCTTAGTTCATCTGCGTTGTACTGGCGTGGACGGCCACGTTTCGCTAGTGCCCAGGTTGCGGCTGGCGGCCGAGCGCGCGCTCACGTGAAGCAGCCGTCAATGGCTACATAGGAGCCCCTCGGTATTGACGGTAAAGTAGACGCTTACGTGTTGTAGGCCAATCTTGTCTCCCGTAGGGGTCACGTGACTACAGTATTCATGCTGGTGATAATACAGAGCACAGCACCTGGCTGAAGGCCACTGTCACGTGAATAGCGTCCATTGCACTATGAACTTTTGGACGAACTTACAAGGGGATACATGGGACAAATCCTCTAATTGTGTTCATTGTTGTGATGCTTCTTGAACTGGGGTGTGCTGCCTTTTTTAACCACATCCTCGTTCTGACCTTGAAACAGTTCCTGCCTCCTTACTCCTTCTCTCTCTTCTTTTTTCCTTAAGTTGAAAGCTTCGTAGAAGGTGCGCGCTCCCCGGAAAAATCTACCGTCTGCTTTTTATCACTTGGCACCGTTTTGTGTGTGTGGGTACCGGCAGCAGCGTAATTACATAGTCAGGGGCGGATCCAGAACTGCGTTGTTTTTTGGGGGGTAGGGGGCGGGAAAATTGATAAGGATACCATTCTCCCATTATTTCTCGTGCACCGGGGGACCTATGTCAAATTGCCTTCCGAGGAGGGGGGAGGGGGGTCGACTGTGTCTGGGGGGTGGGGTGGGGGGGGGGGGGAAAGGCAGCTGCCCCCGTCGCCCCCCCCCCCCCCCCCCCCCCTTGGATTTGCCCCTGAACGTGGTAAAAGATTGACGGATGACGCAGGAGCGGTTCCCAATTCCTTAATGCCTGCTTGCTGACCCAGTTTTTCGTGTGCTGCGGCTTGCGGGGCTTCCGTGAATTTCGGTGGTAAATAATATATCGTCCGCGACAGAGTATTCGGAGTGTACGAAAGCTATCGAGGTCCGAAACATTAAATCGTATATAGGCAACAAGCAATTTCTGCGAAGAATCCCAAGGAATCTTGTTCGATTCGGCGAATGACAGCTTGTTCCAGGTCGTGTTGAATCTTAACAGAGCCCCTCTTTCTCGTTTTTGTGCTTGTGTGGTTGTTGTGCAGTGGCCGCGTCGACATAGATCTCTGAATAGATCTTTAAAGTCTGATCATTTCATCGTAAGTACACTGCAACCTACTTCATGGCGACGAATGACTGTCCTGCTGGTACTCATTCGGATTACTTGCAAAATCGCCTCGGTTCTCGTTTGCTTTGTAATCTTGTCAGTTGTATAACAGCTTAGTAGTATCTCTTCGTTTCTCACAAACCCATTGCATGTTTTACTTGTCTGCGAAATAGACTGTGTGTAGGGAAGTTCGAGGAGATTTGAAATCAATCCTTTGTCTCTTTTAGCAGCAGCTTGCTCAATGGGAGCTAGCTACGGTAATCCATTGATCCTCCTAGGAAGCTAGGGCGACCATTTTATTACCTTTGTAGCAGCATCATAGGCTCCTCCTAGGAGCATAGGACGACCATTCAATTACCTTTGTAGAAGAATCCTATGCATGTTTGGCTGTGGACACCCTAGGTTCCTCCTAAAAGCCCCCTATAGAAAATATGCAACAGGCACCCTATTGCCTTAAAAGTTACATTTTACGGTTATCTTACGTAGAATCGGATTTTATCCGGTATTAAAACTGTATAAATCCTAGGCTTTTCATGGGACGTCCTTAGCAGGTCAGTCGACCTATAATGTGTGGAGGATGTCCGTTGGCCAATGTTCTATAGGAGACCCCAAGGAGGACAATAGAAAGGTATCAGTGCTGACGGCATTTCTTGAGAGACCCTTGCGCCTTCTAGGGACACATTTCTATAGAACGTTGCTAGGGTGGAAGTAATTTTTTTTTTGTATGGGCGGACTTGTGTGTAAACGTTTTTGAACTTATTTTAAACAAAGCGCTGTCAGGTATAACAAACAAAAGAGGAAAGAAAGGAAGGCGTTGTTCAGGCACTGGAATACGATGTCTAAAGAGATTCTTCATTGTCCGTCCCTTTTTTAGCGCCTATCTACACTAGTCTGCGAGGCCTAAGAAGTCAAAGACTAACCATTTCCAGCACTAATAGATGGCAGTGTCAGTGCAATCCTCTTTGTAATCAAGCATGTGATATTGTCATGAACGACAAATAATGAGGCGGCGAGTAAGTGTAGAAACTGAACGTTTAATGTGGTGAACTTGTGCCCAAAGCAGAATATAAAAACTTGTAGAGCCCAACCGCTTCACGTCAAGATGGAGGACCATCGAAGCTGTTATCTTTACGACAACTTTACGGCAACTTTACAAACACTTTAAGACATCTATACGATTTACATATGATTGCCATGAAAACACGTACACGCCTTCGTTGTTTAATTGTCTTAATTGAATTCTTAGCGAATTAAGTGATCATTGACTTATAGCCACAATGGTAAACCGCCATTGGTTGTATTTTGACTTCGGATACATTCTTTCTAAACGTGAGGTCGATACACGCTCTGTTGCCTGTCCTTGGTATACGTATACGTGTTGGTATACTATTTTAGGTTTTACAGCGACTTGGGGCTCTTCATCAGCGATGCTAATAAAGAGCTTAAGTCTCTTTATCAGCATCGCGGAAGCGAATGAAAAGAAGGTTAAATTGGCGCGTTCTGCCCTCAGCCTCGTCACAGCGCACCCTTAGCTGAGATAAGTCGGTGACCGTAGATGATAACAAGGTATCAAGACTTCATTCTCTAATAATGCCTAGGAAGGCCGACCCACGTGGGTTGCCCCCTCTTTTTATTTATACTTGCCACCACCAATCGGAAAGAAGGAGCGCCGTTTAAACGGGAGTTTTTTTGTTATCAGTCATAGGCGCATTTTGTTCCAGATCCTAACAGATAAGAGCTCCGCTGTAAAAGGCTAGCCTCGCAGGCGTCGATGTCCGCGAAACAGCAGGATTGAACGGTGGGCGAAACTGACTCCGGTTCGACACGCGGACCCCCTTATATACACGCGTGGGCTTCTGAAACAATCGGCGTAGAAGGTTCGACGCGTACAACATTCTAACCTCGAATAAGCCTCCCCCCCCCCCCCCCCCCCCCCAACAAGGTTCTCGAATTTTCCAAAACGCCACACTTACAAAAACAATAATAAGGTGAATCCTCAGCCAGAAATCGAACCTCGGCTTCTTGCGTGGGAGCAAAGCGCGATAACTATAGGCCACGGGCGCGCTGCCTACTTGGCCAGCTGCACCCGCGGCAATATCAAACATCTCAAGCAACCATTTAGTTCGATAAAGGTTTGAACTTACTTGTAGAAAGAGAGTTGTAAGGCCATTTGCACATAGCTGTCCGGGCTTAATTTCCAGGATTTCACATCGTTCTTTCCATACTTTGTGAACTTGAAAAGGAGATTTTCTCTTGTTGCCCTGAATCTACAGGGTTAGAACTTATTTTAGGGTTCATGAAATTAAATTATGTTCATTGTACCTCAAGTCGGCATATCATTCACTATTAAAATTTTAATTACGTAAACAATGTGATGTGAAGTTAGGTCACGTACGTGAGACTGACGTTACAGTGCCACGTGGCAGCATGAGAAAGCCACGTCACTCTGCCGACTGAAGTGACGTGACCATATGACGTTATGATGCCAAGTCACGTCACTATGTCACGTGTCGTCGTAAATTCACCTGATTCTCATGAACTCACGTGATTTCACGAACTCGCCAAACGGTACGGTGTCAAGTGACATCATAGTGTCTTGTAGCCTGGTGCCACGTGACGTCATGAGGTTACGAGATGTCACGATACAAAGTGACCTGACATGACGATGTCAAGTCATGGTTTCACCTGACGTCACATGACCAGTCGACATGACCGTCATGATGTCGCGTAAGTTCATAAAAAAACATGCATTAGTATTCCTCGAGAGTGGATGCCGCTCTCTAGTCCCACGTGACACTGGCGTCATCGAGGCTACATGCCTCGGACACACGGCGAGCAAGTGTTCCAAAATTTTCCTTTGGCACATCGGAACGCAACGAGGTGCGCGCCAATGAAAGGGAAAGATAGATAACGCGCAGGGAAGGCGCAATGACGAGACGGAAAAGCGCGCCATAATTGGTGGAATTCGGGTGGAAACGAAAGCACGTGTACGCGTTTGGAGGGTAAACAAACGCATGAGGTACACAAGGAGCAGAAAAATCTCCACGCCGTATAAATGCTACGCATTTAAGAAAGGACCCCGCTAGTATGTTCTTCAAGACGATAACTGAACATTTCCCAATGCAACTGGGTAGTGCTTGGACAGTTCCAGAAGAGTAAGACCATTTGCCTGATGCGCCAAGCCAACCTCTATGACAGTAAACAACACGAGGATAATTTTTTAACATTCTTGTGCGTTTAGAGGGCACTAACGCGCTTCCTCCAGAAACTCCCCCCTTCCCCCCCCCCCTCCCTCAAAAAAAAAAAAAATGCAGGTGAGCATGTTTGAATAGCACAGTGGCTGGTCGCTTAGCAATGTAGTTCACTTGCTCACAAAACGAATTGGCTGATGTACAAGTGGTCGCAGATTTCTGTGCAGCCAAGAAAGCATATTTATTTAGCAAAATTGTTTATGCATTGCCCTGCGTACTGAGCCGTGTGTCCTGAAGCACACTTTCCTTATTACAGGTCGTATACCCTAATACCCCGCAAATAAAGTCCCCTTGACAGGAGAAAAGAGCTTAGAAAGATCTACGGTTACATATATCTATCTATATATATATATATATATATATATATATATATATATATATAACCTGTTCATAAAAGAAGTCTGATTTTAGTTTTGGTTTAACGAATGATAGTTACACTACAGTGTTTACAGCTGGGATCTTTTGCTTTGCTTAATTTATTGTGTTCACTTACTAGATATAATACCTCAAGCCCCTTTTTCTCTTGCCGCTGTTGCTGAAACTTTCAAGGCGTTGGAATCCTGTCCAAGCTTTTCCTACATTGTTTTTCTTTTTCAGCTGCCGCCATTGTGTCAGTGGCCAATGAACATGTATGATGGATATTATAATAGCTGTAGTAAATTAGACTATGCTATCCAATCTGCTCCCGGTATCTGCAGTAAAAGAACTCCCCGATTTGGGAAGGAAAAAACCTGCCACCTTCTATGCCGAGTTAACAATGAACAGAGCAGTGATAATGAGTGTTATTAATACATGCACGTTTTCCTCAAAAGACCCAACGATGTACTTACCTTGCATGGTTAGATTTTGCCATCTCTATGTCTTTCAAAGTTTCGGGTCCAATATCAAATTCCAGTTTTATTATATCCACTTTCACGGCCTCCTGGGATGGGACGAATGGTTCACTGCCTGCTCTGTGACATGAAAGGGTTAGGTTATGAAAGGTACGTTATCGCCCTATACTTTGGACGAATATGATAACTGAATAATTGAAGCTTTAGGTAACCGAATGTTATAACCGGATATTGACATACAAACTGGTGGAACTCAGGAGTGGAACAGTTTTGATGAATTTGAGATCAAATACGGCCACGTGTGCTGCGGTAAGCAAGACCGTATTGCGTTCAGGCAACAGTTATGAAATATATTGGCGTTAGCTACGCCATCTTCGGAAGTGATGACCGTAACCACCCTCGGGAAGCAAAGGTATTTTGGCCCTAAATTTGAAACAGTAATCAGCGACCCCTGAATGCAAAATTTGAAAATGTGTGACGCAATTTACGTTTATTTTAGTGATTTTTCTTTATGAAGGATATTGTTATAGCACCTCCGCCGATTATTTTATTGTCGCGGCGCTTTTCTAATAATTTCGGGGGTGAAGAGTGGCACACAGTAACGTGCTTACATCTAAACGTTTTGAGTGTTCTTTTCTCAAAGCATAGAAAAATTGTGCGTAGACTCCATGCAATATATACTCCAAGACAACTTCACTCTCTTTTTATTCAAGTGCAAAGCAAGACTCATCTTGGCTAGTGTACAGCTCGCCGTCGCTCGGCGTCACTCCGAAATCCTCTAAAACGAGACATTCTCGGGCGAAAGATTCACTGGAGCGTGCAGAGTCAAGCCACCAAGATGACATAGCTTGTTCCTGCTCGAGAAATGTGAGCGACACTGACCAACGCTAATCTGCTTTTGTAAGTAGACATCAGTGCAAATAAGTGAAGCTAAAAGGATAAAAAAAAAGAAAGAAAAAAGCTCGCCCATGTTACGTATAGTACAACGCGCACTTTGTGGTGCCAAAATCTGCATAACGTTTCCGCAGATTCGAATAAACTGCAATGCCCAACCGTGCTGGCGCTCACGCGTTCCACTCCAAGATGATAAAATTCAAGTTTGGGAATGAGAACGCAATTCTGTGGCTGCGGATGGCCATGTGGATATCGAGATAACTAAGATAAAGAATTAACACACTCTTTGACCTACATGCAGTATAAACGACAGTGCAACAATTATTAAATAATATTGGTCTTCAGGTGAACTTACTTGTAAGCCATGCAGTAGTCAACGAGCGCAGCCATCACAGTACCGTCAATCGAGGAGTGCTCAAAAAGAAATCCCGTAAGGCCTTCTTTTCCTAGAATGAGCTAAACAATTCCACACGTACGTGTTTGCAATCACATCATCCGGCAGGCCCACTGCAGAAGGTTATGCGCTAACTGTACGTACTTTTCTTTTCTGCTTTTTCGGGAGCGGATCGGGAAGAAGATACTCGGAGAAAAAGAACGCAGCTTTCTTGGAGAGATTGCCATGGCAAGTTTTACTGCACTACAACTTGTGGACTCTAAACGAAGCTTACGATGTTTGGTTCTCTAAGTTCTCTGAACGAGTCAGTGCAGGAAACGTTTATTGGCAAGCACGATTACAATATATATTAAAACCAACTTATAACAAGAATGACTAATATAATAATCATAGGAATTAATATTATTATTATTCTTTTATTATTATCACTGTTATTATTATTTATTTTTACACTTTGAGGCACAGTTGGAGGGCAAATGGTTAACAAAGGTTACCTGAAAATGCTCCACCACCGTTTTACATTGCTCAGCAGCGAAACAAGAAAAAAAAAAACACACATAAATGTCTTAAAAATCAATATAGCACAATACCATATTATCCACTTCCACCTTTAAAAAACAGAAGATTTATACACAAGAAGGACTCATAAAATCTCGTCATTAACGGTGCACTGTCAGGGAGAAAGGGCAAGTAGACGTAACACGTGCTCCCAAAAAAGCGGAGGTTAGTGCTAGGCGGTGAAACTGCACGTGGCTGTATTTTCTACAGTATTTGGACAAGTTCTTTCTTCTGAAGGGGGCGATTCTATCAACTCGTTGGCCTTACGAGTGCCAACAGTGATGTCTGCGGCCTGATTAGATCAGGAACCATTAGTGTTTCTTGGCTCAGAAGAGAGTGAAAACTTTCCAGTTCCTTACTCTCGCGGTAAAGAGTACAATAGCAAAAGGCGTGTTGTAGTGTTTCTATGACGTAACACCTTTTGGAGAGAGATAAGTCGAGCCTGTTCGATGACGCTCAACTAATATTTATCTGGAAATTCGCTGCTCAGTGCTTGTTAAAGATCGGCTTTTGCCCGTAGCTTAAGATGGCGTTATTAGAGAGTTTTAGTAGATCGTTCCGATAGCTCCGATAGCCCCGATAACGATACTATGCATGCGCAAGGGAGGCGGTGGCGAAGTATCGGGATATCGTTATCGGAGTCATGGGAACGATCTACTAAAACTCTCTATTGACGGAGGACAAAAGAAGAGTTTATGCTGTGCAGGTGTCAACAATAATGCTGTGGACGCGTCCAGCAGGAATACATTAGAATCTTAATAACACGATTCGACATTGCTAGAGCATCTCCATGTGAGAACAGGTTCAACAAACTGTATTTAAGATGGAAAGCATCTTCGAATGCTAAGTTGGTTCTTTGCCCGTAGTAAACGTTTTAATTCGAGCAATGAGCCAATCAAGCACGGTATAGGAAGCGGGTCGAAGAAAAAGTGACATTAACGCATTATCTGATTTTATGTGTTCATTAAGAAACTTGAACTATTTTGAACTAAAAACAAGAACACTACGCTACACCCTTAAAAAATGAAAGACGTTTACAAATCTCTCTAACGCGAAACTAGAGCGCAGCTTATGAGGAGGGGAGGGTATGGAGGGGAGAGTATGACCCTCGTCCCCCTCCCTATTCTACCCTCCTCCCATCATCTTCCTCCTTCTCCTCTCCTCCTCCTCCTAACCCCTCCTCCTCTTCGTACCCTCCTCCTCTCCCCCTGCCGCTAAATTTTTTCATGAGTGACGTGACACGAACCCATGACGTCATTTCCGCCACTAAACCTAACGCGGAGTCTAGCCCGCTAAATTTAGTGGGAAATTTTTCCTGCTAAATTTAGCGGGAAAATGTCCCTCTAAATTTGGCAGGGAAATGTTTGCGCTAAATTTAGTTTCGCGCTAAATTTAGCAGGAGATTTTCCCCGCTAAATTTAGCTGGATAATGTCCCGCTAAATTTAGCAGAAAAATTTCGGCTAGATTTAAAGGAAACATTTTCCGCTATACTTTTCGAAAAAAAAAAAAAAACAACAAAAAACATTAAGGCCCATAAAATATCTAACCATCCGACTTTATGCATTTTTCGAGCACATGCTTGTGTTGGCTTACGATTAACAATCACAACGTTATATGGGACTATGTTTATTTCTTATAAAGTTAGTACTGTAGTGTATAGAGTACAGCGGGATTTTACGCATTAACAGATACTTGTGTTATTTTTTTTTCAGCTATTGCGGATGCAAACAGAATGCGTCTACTGTATTGTTTGGCATTCAACTCCGCAGCGAAGAAAATAAAACAACTAGGAGCACCAAAAAATGCGTAGCACAACCGTCGTCAAAAGCAGATTCACAAGGTAGACTGCGCCTCATTTCATTCAATCACCTGAACAGTTTTGTCACACCAGCGGTTAGCTGCATTTTCGCCGTCTTGCCCGCCCGTGCAAAGTTGCTCGGCAGAGGTCACCTCGTAAGGTTCCGATTTGTGCAGCTTGCGGTCAAGGCACACCGCCATTGCAGACTTCCTTATGGCTTGTAGTGACGCAACGTTCCTAGGACCTGCGACCAAGCGTTGCATATGCCGTTAACGATTGTTCTAATAAAATCTGCCAATTTTAATTTTCACAACTCAGTTTATTTAATCTATTTAAATTCAATATTTAAATTTCACGTCAGAAGCTTTGGACGGCTCGGACGCCATCTCTTCTCTCTCACACACAGAAACACGCGCAGTAGAAGACGTCTGTATTACATGCGATCATAGAAAAGCATTAAAATGACATGTTTCGTTCGTGAGGTCTTGGAGCGGTGCTGCTTTTTATTAGAGGAAACTAGTTTCAGTACGACAATAAACCTATGGGTGTATAAGGAGTTGGAAACATTTAATCCTGTTAAACAAATGCACTTAAAAGCTTTGTATGGTACACTAGGATGAAAGTTTTGTAAAGAGGAGCCAATTGAGATGATTGTGATCTGCTAAGTATGAAAATAAGATACCTTTTCTGCAGAAGATCAGTGAATGTTATATTTATAATATATTGCGACATTAATGACATGATCAACCAGATTGGCTTTTCAAAAACAGAAAGGTACATCCAATGCGTTGGCCTAGGAATATTAGGTACAAAAAATAACGCTGACTGTTTTTCTAAATTTTACGAAGCCACTTGTTTTATTTATATTTTACCATTTTTTCTGGGTTACCTTTAGCTTATATTAAAATTTGTGCACTTTATTAAATATAAAAAAAATAATCCTAACGGGAACAGATGTTGAATTTAAATAAATATTTTCCCCCTCGCCTCCCACAAACTAAATTATGTTTCAAGCTACGACTAGTGAAGCCGCAGTCCTAGCACTCACACAAAATTGAAAACCAATTGACTTGTTTTGCACTATATTTACATCGGCACGAACAACGTGCACCTCTTGTTTCTTTATTACTACGTCGTTTAAAAGCACTAGTCAGGCTATTTCCTTCTTTCAGGGATCGATTATTATTGGCTAACTTGTTTACATTATGATGATAATTGCATATTTAGAGAAGGTGGAAGACTGTTGAAAGTGTGTTTCATAGTAAGCATTAGGAGCAGGGAGGCCCAAGTTTGTGCGTCTCCGCTTTAAAATTTGGTGAAGCACAGACGCTGAGTGGATGGAGATTTCGTTCAATTGAAGTGAGTGCATAATCTGCCGAAGCACAAGAAACGCAGCATAAAAAATACGCACACAAAAATAAATGATCCGCTCGATGTCTGGTGCTATGAGATGCACAAGCCTTAGGTGAGGTCTCACCCTCGTGGGCTCCAACGTACAAAAAAGAGAAGAAAATTGCGCTGACGGAAGAGCTTACCTGGGTTTGACCACAAAAAAAAAAAGAAAAAAAAAAAAGAAAACCTCTAAGTTTGCAGGCTCTGCAATTGTATTCCGGGAATTCCAAGGTGGAGCCTACTTCCTATTCACTTAAATATTCTCGAACGTCTGGTGTCCCGCAAAGTACTTGGAAGAAGTAACGGTTGGAATCTACAGAGGGAACTCGGCGGATGGCGAAGCTGAAAATATATCTTAATAGCTAAAAAGGCAGTCTGCCGGGGCACATTGCGCACGATGTTTCACCCTGCTAACACGGTCCGTTGTTTTAGGTCTTTGCGGGGCAGCAGACGCTCCAGCGTTTCTATGACCACAAACACCTTAAGAATTGTAGAGAGAGGTGAATCCTCGCATTTTATTAGCGTTCAGTAATCAATTAAATTGTGCCATCGCTCAATAATAACTTTAAAATATGAATCACGAAGAAGGAAACGTGAACGTAGTGAGCCACGTCCAGTGATCGTAGGCTTTAAGTGACAATGGAGTGCATTTTTTTTTGTGTTGCAGCAATCAAGAGGTGCGAACAAAGTGTTCTTTATTTTAAACCAGATCTGTATGCTTTAATCTGAATGTAGCTTATTATACTCTCAGCTGTTTACTCCTTGTGCAATAGCAGTGATCAGGGTATATGTCGCTATGTCTGTGAAGCTATGATAGGAAGTTTTGAGATTATCTCATCTTTTTTTCAGTGTCTTTCCCTTCTTTCTAGGTATATCACACTAGTGGAAGAGCAATACAACTGTATACTTAATGAACCAAGAAAGCCAAAACGATTGTCGCAATTGATACATCAGAAAGTGATAAAGCGAGAAATGAACTTTTTTTATTTAACAACAGCACAGAAATTGATCTAAGAAACAATAGCGTTTTTTTTCTTAATTGCTTTAATAATTGGTTCGTGAACTAAAATTTCAGTTCTCCCTGTCGTACCATATATGTGTTGGAACATAAAGTGCATACAAAGTTGTTTTAATATAAAGACATAGAAATATATGCGATCAAATCCAATCTTTGACTGTTAAGTGCGTAAATTGTAAGATAATAAAATCTTGAACGCTTCGTATTTTGCCTCTTTTCCGTTGAATGCTTTAATATTTTCAATGTTAAGTTAATGTTTATGCAGTTGCTATCTTCTTAGCCTAACCTGAGAGAATGTAAAGAAGTAAACCAGGTGTAAGATTTATAACTTAAGTATGCAATGTAAGTGCCCATGTGAATATTATAATATATAAGTCAAATTTAAAGAGTGTGTTTTTTTTGCGTGTAGTTTGGTTAGCAAAAAAACATTCATTCAAGAACAAAAAAAGAAAAAAAAACAACACAATTCAGCATTCTTGCATTCTCTACGTATTGATATTGTCGGACCAAACTGGTCTCGAAACGTCGGGTTTAATGTTTATTAAACGTTTGGTTAGTGCCTACTTTTCGCTTAATGAATTACATACGTATAAGATTGTTTTGTTACAACTCTACATATGTACGAAATTACGTCATATTAGAAAAGGGGAATGAAGGAAAGGATAAACAGTTCTTATGTAAATTATTCATACGTATTATTTTTTATTTATTCCGATTTTGTACCCAGGCAACGTGATGCAATATAGCATTGTACTCTTCATCGGCTTCCATCGCGTAGGGCACTGAAAGAACACAATAACAATTTGATTTTTCTACCAAGTTGCCCAAAACAAATTTGAATTTTGTTTAAAAGACGCAATGGCCAATTCTCGACCATTGTAAAAAAATACACTTACATATATAATCGTAATATTATGTTTTTTTTTTGCTTTAACGAAACAAACAATAGTTAATTTTGAGGTGTGTTTAAGAACCACACCATGCACATTGCGCGAAACTGCGAGGAGAACCTTTGGCTTTGCTTCCACATCTCCGTTGCCGAAGCCCACATTCCCCGCAGGTGTGAACACGTGGTGACTCCTCCATCATGTCCAGTGCCACAGCCGACATTCCCCACTAGTCTGGGACTTTTTGAAACCCGCCACGTAAACAGCGCCTGGGATAGCATGCCCAACTCGCCTATCGGCGAACATCCGTTGACGTGCGCGCTACAGTACCGGGCCGGGATTTCTCGCCAGACAGGCGCGCGGCGCTCGCCCGTGGCCTTATTTGGGCATGAGATTCTCGGTCGGAGCTAGGACGGGCGGCAGGAAAAGGGGTCGGGCTGGCTATATAAGGAGGTTGCAAGCGGGGGTTTAGACAATCTTGATCTGAGAGTCTTCCTTTAACAGTCTTGATTCGAAAGCATTCACTGGGTTCTTCACAGACAGTCTTGATTTGACGATCTTCAGTCAGAGTCTTTGGTAGAGAAGTCACCAATGAGGGAGTCCAGAGGCTGCTGCCGCAGCCAGAGGAGAACGGAATTTGGGAAAGACGGAACGTGAGTTGATAAACTGTTTGATTGAACTTACTGAGCTGTGTGACTTCCTTGAGAACGACTGAAGCGTGGCTTTAACGAATCGGGCGTAGTACGAGGTGGACCGATAACGCAACTGTTAGCGCGAATACAACGTATATGGGCTTTTTTCGGAATTTCATTGGAAGCACAATTCATCGGCTCCAAGTTTCAGCACTTAAGGTAGTGTCGCAAATATCCACACCTTTCCAGACTACAAGTATTTATAAAAGCCTTTATATTTCAACTAAAAAAAAAAAAAAACACGTGAGATTAAGTGATCGTTTGTTGGCACCCACAGTTTGCCACGATGTACATAATCATAATAATAATCATTAAAACTTTATTCTGTTCCCAATAAACAACCAGAATAGGTCTGTAACGTGGCAAAATATAAAGTAATACATCTATAAATCGTGCTTGAACATAAGCGACGATTTTACTGGAGGCACTGATCTTACACCTGATAAGAAGTGAAAACGCTCAATAGATTAAATATAATATCGTGCAGCCTCCTTCTCAAATTCACAAAGTTGTCGAAAATGTCTAGGTCTCTATGACTAAAGCTTTCACAGAGGTTTGCATTCTTGTTATCGGTGACGCCATGTATTGATTGTGACGGTAAAAATTAGAAGCAGTTTTATTAGAACGAGCGGGAACGTTTAAATTCACAGTGCACAAAAGTTGAGAGTCAATGTCGCTGTGAAGTCCTTTGTGCAAAAATATTATATCGCGATACAGCCTTCTCGTGGATGGACCTTGTAGGCGGAATTTAGCAAGAAGTTCCCAACTATAAAAAAGCCTTCGCCCTATATAGCTCTCCTAAATTACACGGACAAGGCGCCGCTGACCATATTTAACTTTCGCTGCATCGTGCGCACTAAGTAAATTCCACACAATAGCGCCAAACTATGGTATCCCTATTGAAAATTCCATCAAGGTACGTAATTTGGGACACTGACTGCCAGTCAGCAGCCTTGGTGGAACGTGCCCTGATGGTCCATCAGATGACATCTGACTGCCACTGCCAAGGGAATTTCATCAACAAGGGCCGCATTTATATGAGTAAAGCTATACACACTCATAAATATCGCCAAATGCCTTGACAAAACAAAATGTCTGAGAAAAAAAAAAAAAACAGGTCCCCCGCGGATCGAATCCGCGTCCACTTGCGTACAAAGCGGACACCTTAACCCCTATGCTATGCCATTTTTTTTTTCTTTATTGCCTGCTTAGACAGATTTTTTTTACAATACACACAAAAGGAAAAGGCTAAAGC